AGGAAAATACCCCAGAATTTGAAACTTTTTGAACACCAACAAGATGCTTACGTTTATGTTCAAAGGAAATGCTCATTGGAGCATTTTCATTTTGGATGTTTGGATTAGGGATGCCCAATTGGAAAATGTATCATGTGAATACAGTATTCCAAATTTTGAAAATTTCTGAATACAAAACACTTCCTGTCTCAAGCATTTGGGATAACTACTTAGCCCATAATATGGTAGTAGGTCAGAGCACAGACTTTGGAGACAAGATCAGCCCTTGGTTGAATCCCAGCTCTGCTACTTTTTAGTATGTGACCTCAGACAGGAACTTCAGTTTTTATCTCTAAAATGGAGATAGTAATATCAGCCCCTCAGTATAGATGTGAAGATTAAATTAAATATAAGGCACCCAGGACAATGCCTAGAACTAAGTGCTAGCTATTATTAGCATTAATTTTGTTACAGGGACAAAATTATGAAATTACATCTATGTACCATTTTCTCTCCCCCGTCTTTCTAAGAAGGGTGGTTCCTGAGTAAGTTTTCTTTATTTTTCTAAGGAAGGATTTTAGTTTTCTATTGCGATATAACAAATTAGTACACACTTTGTGGCTTAAAATAACCTAGTCTTATTATCTTACAGTGTTGAGTCAGAAGTTTGGGGGTGGGGTAGCCAGGTTCTGTGCTCAGTCCCATGAGACTGAAATCAGGGTATCCCTGGGGCTGTGCTTCCACCTGGGGCTCCAGTCCTCTTTCCACCTCATTGGCTGATGGCAGAGTTTGTTTCTGAGATCATAGGATAGTGGTCCTGTTTCCTGGCTCGACTGTTAGCTGAGGGACAGGCGCTATGGGGTGACTGGAGTTGACATTTAGGGGAGGTGACAGGTATTAGTGATGCTGTATGGTGTCTGGCAATGGCCAAGAGAGGTCACTGGGTTGAAGGAACTGGAAAGCTAGGTATCAGTATCAGGGTACACGGACTTGATGTTTAAAGTGAATAAAAGTGACAAGAGGAGCAATAGTAACATAGTAACAAAGATGCCAGAGAACCAGGTGCTAGAGTCCTCAATAAATGAAAAGCAGTACCAGGGAGACTGGCATGTATTCTCCCAGGCATGAGCTTCAGGTGAGCTTGAGAGAAAGGGAAAGAAAAAGGCCTCGAGGAACAAGGACACGGTACGTGCTAGAAAGACACCAAGCAGGAGAAGCAGTGGCCACTAGAGAAGGAAGGCCTAGTTGATTTAGAGAGAAGATGGACTAGGGAAAGAAGAAAGAATTGTTAACAAAAAGTTTAAAGTTGGCTTTTCAGATACGACACCTGCAGTCTTGTCCTAGGAGAGCTGGACGTACAATTGATACTTCCTGCTCCTCATGCTCCCTCCATCCTAGCTAATTAGTATTTCTGTTTTTGCTTCTCCTTTCCAATTCCCTTATTGATTTTTCTCACATCTGGAGTTCCTCAAAATAGTCCTAATGAAGAGCAGAACCACTGCTGTGAGTGCTCCTAGGCAGCTCAGCTCCTGCCCTTCTGACCATGATCGGAACTCCTTAGCCTTCACTCTTGTGCCTGCTGGTTGGCAAGTCAGAAAATATTGGAGCAGAGTAGGCATTAGGGAGCTTGAGGAGAGTCTAGGAGGAGAGAGAGTGGGAGGTACAATCTACCTCGTTATACCTCACCTGAAGGGGGCGGGGTCTGCCTGTGTCTCTGTCTCTCTAACTTTGGGTTTAGCCAGCTGTCTCTGCTCCGCCTTCCACTGTCCTCTTCCCACTCTGTCTACACAGTATTACAACACACTGCTCTCTCTCATTTCTTTCTAGCCATTTTCTTCTAAAGAGTTTACATTTTGTACATGCTTTTCTTTTTTTTTCTTTTTTTTTTTTTTTTTGA